TTGTTTTTTTAATGATGATGTTAGTTGCTTTTGGTTAGTGGATCATATAGTGATGTTAAGATTAGACTTTTTGTTTGTTAATTTATACATTTTTTGTTCGTAGGTCGTTTACTTGCTAAATTAGATTGTTTAGTAAAGATTAGTGAGTTTGTTAACGAGTTACAAGAAGAAGAAAATTAGTTAACGATTTGGGAGGCGAAGTGTCCAAGATGCTTTTTGACTACTTCGGGAGTTATGCATAAAATTATTCGATGCACACATCCCACCCATTCTTTTTGTTTATGCAACGGACCGACGTATGAGCCTAACTATTATTAAAAAAAGATTCATTCCGAGTAAAATAATATCGGTTCTTGGTGAATTTATAAATGTTAGTAGACTGCGGTAAAATAATATCGATTTTTTGTCAATGAGTTGAAACCTCTTCTTCACGATGTCTAACTTCAAATATTTTATCTATCAGTTTTTTCTTTATTTCGTTCTCGACAAACTATAAAACCCATTTAGCTAAGATTAAGTTTTGCTTTGCTCCATGACTTTATAAAAATCGGTTTTATAAAAATAGACCGCGGTCACTTTTCTTACTCCATACTTGTTATAGTATTGTTCTACTATGCATGTTAAGAAAATTATTAGCATATAAAATTATTTTCATTGTCCATAATGCTTTGATCACACTCGGGGTTGAAAAGGACTTTGTAGCTGTTTTGGCAAAATGTGCACGAATCTCAAAGATTGCAATGGATTTTTTGGTTAAAATTCAAAGGAGTTTTGGACAGAATGTGATTAATATTGTTATGGGATAGGGAAAGATCCACAACGATTTTGGTATTGTTACGACACATAATGTTTTTAGTTCATAAAGAAACAAAAACTCTATGGCATGTCCCATTCTTTATGTTGTGATAAAGTCATAAGTGGACCAACAGTGTCATGTGCACTCAGATTTTTGAAAATTTCTTCGTTATACAAAAGAATAAAATAGAGAGTGCGAGTCAGGAGGGTAAAAGAATCTCCACTGTGTTTTGTTTTGTTGTGTGCTCTTTACAATGTTCAAAATTATACTCTTTTAATAATTACTATGTTCACGATTGAGTGCTCTTCGTAACTCGACTGCGTTTTTGTTTTGTTTTTTCATTTATCTTTAGCTTCTGTCCTATATTTGCTTGATACACTAAGTTTACATTTTGTTCAAGTAAAACATTAAGTTTTACATTATCACAATTGAATACAAGTTATAAAACTTCAACAAACTAAAATTACATGCAATTAAACATTTGAGTATATTTAAATATTTGAGCAATCTAAAACTTACAAAATTGGTGGTGAATACGGACGACTTTGTCAAAGTAATCAAAATATTAAAAGTCTATCTATATCAAGTTTACATTTTGTTTAAATAAAACATTAAGTTTACTTTAATCACAATTGAATACAAATTAGA